GCTCTCTCTTGTTGTAACTGAACAGGGCTGTGACCAAATGCATACCTCACCTCCCTCTGGGTGACTCTCCTTTATGACCCTCAAAGTTAACCACCAAAGCCATGGAACTCATCATAACCATATCCCAACCCAATACAAAAGAGGAGTTAGGCTCTGTGGGGTCCTCTGCCTTTAACCAAAGGAAGACAGATTGTCACCTTCCTACTCTGAAGACGTGGTCCTGAGATGCATCTCGGTGGATAAGTACAAAGGTTTAGCCAATGAGGCTCACAGAAAAGTACTTCACCTCCCCCAACCCTCGCTCCTCTCTGGGGCTGTACTCCCTAATAAAACCATAGCCCTTAAGACTCAGCTTCCATTTTTGCTTCCTGTGGAGACCAGGCGAAGTAGTCACACAGAGCATTTGTTACCTGACGACAGTCAATGCTCCACAGTAGTGATTACAGAGCCTCAAGTATTAAGAAGAGTAGCACCTAGCCATCACCAGATAGGAGAAGAGCTAGCGTGGATGAACCATGAGAATCCTCTAGCAGCCCTGACCAGGCTGTGCTGACAAGAACCAGGGAAGCATGTGGAGCCCGTCTTGAGGTGTGTGGGCTGAGGTGAAAGGGACACAGAAGAGCTTTCACAGACCTGGAGGGACACGCTCATGAAATTCAATGCCGCAGCAAGAATAACTGAAGCTGTTTCCAGTGACATGTTGAATGGCTCCTTAAACTTGGATGTGATGACAACCTACTGTAAATAGAGATGTCAAAGCTGCCTTGGCGTAACGTTGAGCAAGGTGGTCCAAGAGCTCTGGGAGCTGGAAAAGCTAGGATAGGTTTTTACCATGTGATTATGATCCCTGTGACAGAAGACATTCCCCTTATGATATCGATATGGGAAGGCACTGATGAGAGGACTGTATCTATTTTTTAACCGTCCATAGGATCCATAATGTTGCATTTAAATAACAGTAAATACATAATACGACCCTTTTCAGATTGTAATTAGATTTCTCCCTTCTCTTTTCTCCCTCCAAACTCTCCGATAGGTCCCTCCCTGCTCGCTTTCAAATTCATGGTCTCTTTTTTCACAATTGTCATTGCATGCGTACATGTTTATGTATATACATATATATTCTTAAATATAACCAGTTCCGTCTATACAGTGTTACTTGTATGCATGTCTTCAGGGCTGACTATTTGGCACTGGACAACCAATTGGTGTGCTCTGCCCTGGGGAAGACCACCTCTCCTGTTTCTAGCTTTTCTTGGTTGCCTATAGTTCTTGGTATGGGGTTGATGCCGAATTGGGGAGCCCAGTGCCAATGGATAAACGCGCACACACACACACACACACACACACACACACACACACACACACACACACACACACACAAGGCTCAGTGAACATTGCAGAAGAGGTGGGGGGGCGGAGATTGTCAGAGCCAGAGGATCAGGGAGTTTGCTTTGAGATTGTGACTCCTAGAAACATAAGAAGCTATGTTTCACCAAGTCTCACCAAGATGGTCATTCAAATGTGAGCTGAACAAGGATGTCACCAGTGGGCATGTCAAAGTGGACAGGAAAAATCCTATGAGGCCTCAACCCTACATTTTATATTTCTTAAAACCATATTATCATATATATTTGTTGTGCCTGTTCCTGTGTTACATATAGACATTATACAAGTATATATGATACACTGAGTATGATACCTTCCATATCACTCGACTCTCCCCTAAGCCCCCCATTTCCATTAAGCCCCTTTGTTTCCTTAGACAGTTTTGTTTTTATCTTTTATGTTATTTGTTCACATGTCATTTTATGAATCTACATAATCAAGGAACCACATATGAGAGACATTTATCTGAGACTGGATTAATTCATTTAACGTGATTCTCTCCAGTTCATCCATTTCCTTGCTAACGATTTAATGTCTTTAGAGCTGAAAAAAAAAAACTCCCTGTCTATGAACCATGTTTTCTTTCTCCATTCCTCTGCTGCTGGAAAACTTGGCTGATTCCATAACAGTGATTGTGAATAGTGCAGCAATAAATATCAGTGTGCAAGTTTCTCTGAGATGGGTTGATCTGCAGTACTTTACATAAATACCCAAAAGTGGTATAGCTGTGTCCTATGACAGATGTATTCTTAGCTTCCTTAGGCACCTCCGTACTGACTTCCATTGCGACTGGACTAACTTACATGCCTACCAGGGTTCCATTATGACCACAATGTCACCATCATCTGTTGCTTTCACAATGACTACCATTCTTAATGGAGATGGAATTTCAGTGTTTTCATTTATCTTTCTCTGATGACTAATGAGGTTGAGCCTTTTTTCATATGTTCCAGTGGCCATTCACGTTTCATCTTTTAGGGCTTGTCTGTTCAGTTCATGGGCCCATTTATTGTTTTGCTTTCTAGTGTTCGTATTTGCAGTTCTTTATAGATTCCAGATATCGACACCCCTGCCTGAAGTCCAGCTGACAACAGCTGTCTCCCATTCTGTAGACTGTTGTTTCTGTTTCTGCTGATAGTTTCTTATGCTGTGCAGAGCTTTTTAATTTCACGAAATCCCATCTGTCATTCCGTGAGGGTATTTGCTGTGTTCGTGGGGGGGGTCTATGTAGAAAGTTCTTGCCTATTCCTATACCCTGAAGTATTTTCCTCTAGGAGTATTGGCTGTTTTTAAATTAAGGTCTTTGAATCACATTGAACTGATTTTTGTTCAGGATAGGAGAAAGGAGTCTAATTTCATTCTTCTGAAGGTAGATATCCAATTTGTCGAAAAAATTTACTGAATAGGTAGTCTTTTTCCAGTGTCTCTTTTTAAATCTTTGTCAAAAATATGTAGGAAGTCTTAAATTTCAATGAATTGGGATTTTTAAGGCAATGTATTTTGATATATTTACTTCTCAGTCCTCTCCCGGGTTCTTGCAGATCCACCCCTACACCTTTCCACCCTCCTACACACTTCATGACTTCCTTCAGTTTTTAAATAATCCAGCCAGTCCAACATGTGCTGTTCACAGACTCATAGATCCCTGGGGGTGGGGTCATCCACTGGAGTATGGCCCTTATCTACCAGGGCTCACCCCTTAAAGAGAACTAACTCCTCCTCTTCCAGCAACTACTAATCCCCAACAGATCTTCAACTAAGTGAGACTTCTTGACCACCGCCCACCTCCACACTGACATTGCTCTGTCTTGAGCCTGCATAAGCCTTGTATGTGCCGACCCGATCACTCGGAGTTTGTGTGTGCAGCTGCCCTGCTGTGCCCAAAAAACACTATTTCAACACTAAGCCTAACCCTAACCCACCACCTCTGGTTCTCACTGTCCTTCTCTTTCCTCTTCTACAATGATCCCCGAGCCTTGAGAGGAGAAGTGTGATATACACATCCCATTTAAAGCTGAGCCCAGGCTCTTATTCTCTACTCCCTGAGCGGTTGTGGGTCTCTGTGCTAATTACCATGAAGTACAAAAAGAAGTGTCTTTAATAAGGCTGAGAGATACACTAATCTATGGGCATAATGATAAGTCATTAGGACTTGGTTTAATACTGTATCCATTTAGCAAAATAACAGTAGAGGTTCTCCCTTAGGGCCTGGGGTCTATCTAGCCATAGCACAGGTTCTTAGCCCTTATAATGGTGCCTGGCAGAAGTACTAACTTACAAAGAAGGCCTTAAATCCAATCAGAAAGTGGCCAACTATTCCCCTAACATTCATGCTACTGTTGTACCAGTGGGTATATCTTGCCAGGCCACTCATTTTTTTTTAAGCTCACATAATTCACAGCTAGCTAAGACTAATGGTGATTTTTCTCCTCAGGTAGCATGTACAGCAAGTTCCAATACAAACAGCTTCCAGCGCAGTAACAGCCTGATTTCTTCATGTTCTATGGCTTGAGTATATGGTATCTTCAGCAAGAGTCCGGGAGGTAGTCAAAAGTAATAGCAATATCCTATAACATTTGTGGAGGAGTCCATGGAACCAACAGCTCCAAAAGAAGAGGTAATTCAGTCTTGTAATTGGCTTTTGATAGCCTATGGGGTCTGGGAGGGGCACTATCCTCACATTAAAGGGTATCTCCATTATGTACATATCTTCTATAGTAGTAGGTTTCCATATAACTTTTTCTTTTTTTCTTTAAAGATTTATTTATTTATTATGTATACAGTGTTCTCCCTGCATGCCAGATCTCACTACAGATGGTTATGAGTCACTATGTGGTTGCTGGGATTTGAACTCAGGACCTCAGGAATAGCAGTCAGTGCTCTTAACCACTGAGCCATTTCTCCAGCCCCCGCCCCCATATGACTTTTTCAAAGATCTGAAGTGTTATGTTAGTTATCCTTCCCTGTAATCCCTCTTCTACCCTAGCAATCCCACTTAATCCTTCTTTCACGATTATTTCCCATCCCCCTTCATGTTACCTACCTTCTATATCCCTGACAGTGAACCCAATCCCTCAAGCCTCTTACCAGTTTCTTGGCCTCTACGGATATTCCAAAACTATCTAGCGATATTCAAAGCTAACATCCACAAATGTGAGAAAACATGCCATGCTTGTTCTTCTTGGTCTAGGTTATCTCACTAAGAATAATTATTTCTAGCTCCAACCATTTACCTGCAAATTTCATGTCAGTTTAAGTCTTCTACTTTTCCATCTATGTTTTTTTATATTCATTTGTCAATTGCTACAAAAAATACTTAATAGGCTTTCTATTGAGATTATGTTAAATCCCTATCAGTTTTAGAACTGACAACAATATTGACAAAATCCTTGGGCATGATTTATCTTACCATTGATTTAGCTCGCTTCTCTGAACAGCATTTTTCACTTCTGGTGTATCTTGCTTTCTAACTGGCCAGACAACTCTAATTAGTTCATATTTTATGGTACTATAATAGTATTTTTTAAGCAATTTATTTTTTCTAATTGTTTATTGCTAGAATATAGAAAAAATCATTTTATCAGCTTTTGCATACTTCAATTTTATTTTCACAAGTTAGTTCTGTCACATTTCTTGTACCTAGCCCTTGTTTAATATCCTCCCTTACGTTTTAGGGTACTCGCTAAGTATTCTGCTGTAGCAGAACACTGTAAACTAGGTGTTTCTCACAATTCTGAACTCTGGGTAGTACACGATCAAGGAGCTAGAAATTTCAGTGTTTGGTGACGTGCTATCTCTGCAGCAGCATCTAAGGTCTGACCCAGAGTTGACTCCCTCCTTAAACCCCCTCCTGTGGAAGAGTCCCTTAAAAAAAAAAATTACCCAATCTTGTCCCAGGGACTTGCGGTCAAGATGCCTCAGCTAACTGCCGCTTTTTACTTCTGTTAAACAGCTTGCTTGCTCTACTTCTATTTGCAACTGTCAACCAGGATATGGGTTTTACCTTTAAAAGCTCCCTGCAGCCGGGCGGTGGTGGCGCACGCCTTTAATCCTAGCACTGAGGAGGCAGAGGCAGGCGGATCTCTGTGAGTTTGAGGCCAGCCTGGTCTACAGAGCAAGATCTGGAACAAGGACCAAAAACTACACAGGAAAACCCTGTCTAGAAAAAAACAAAAAGAAAAAGAAAAAAAGCTCCTTGCAGAAAGTCATCAATGTTAGCATTTAAGCATTACCTGGCCGGACCCTTGGGAACCTTGACATCCTAGGTAGCTGTTTGCATAGCCTGATTGTGCATGTGCCAAGGCACCCCTCTCCCTCTCTCTCTTTCTTTCTTTCTCTTTCTCTCTCTCTCTCTTCCCATAAGGTCATGTCTGCACCTTCTCTCGTCCCCTTTTCCCATCTCTTCTTCTCTCTTCCTCTCTTCTATCTCCAGAGGTACACTCTGTGTCCCTTCTTCACTTCCCTTAATAAAATACTCTATGTGAGTGTTGTCTGCATGGTGTGAGTGACTTTCTGCCATGCCCCTTGACTCCAACTTGCCAAGGCCACCACCACACCACTTTTAAATACAACAGTCAGGGATACTCTATGAGAACTGTTTCTCAACGGGCAGTTGCCAGCCAGCATAATAAATACCATCAAATTAGTAATCCTGTCTTGTTGAGTAATCCTTGGGGACTCTGCCCGATGATATGAGCCTCATTGTTATTTGAAGTCTTCATATAGGTTGAGCATCCCTCACCTGAGACCTGAAAAATCTTACAAGCTGAGCATCTCTCATGTGAGATCTAAAGATCTGAAATCCAAAATGCTCTGAAGTCTGAAACTTTTTGAGCAACAAACTTTCTAATTTTACAACATTTCAGGTTTGGGATTTGGGGATTAGAAATGTTCAACTGGTAAAGGCTATGCAAATAATTATAAGAAGTGGAAAACCTCAACATCTGAAATTCTTCTGATCCCAAGCATTAAGAATTAGGACAATTAAATTATATTAGCCAGCATGAGTATATGTCAGAAAGAACAAGATCAAGAATGGAGACAGAGGTGGCTAAATGCATATGCAAGATGAGTTTCCTAATGGCAGCCTGTGGGCTTGAGGGAAGGGGGCTGGCACAAACCACAAGGTCCTTAGCAACAGAACTGATGAAGGGATTATAGGACTGCTCGTACAGGCAGCAGGCAGACCTCTTAAGTTTCTGATTTGGGGACCTTCTTCTGCAGTCCATGTGTCAATGGCCAGCACCTGTAGCAAAAGTATCCTTCAGAAGAAACAAGGAGAACTGAAGCGCTTCAGAAGGTCCTGCCGGGATCTCCAAAGAGTAAAGCAATCTTCTGCCTTCTTGTGTGGCACACCTCTCTGTTAGCAATGGAGAATGGTGGCGGGCAGCAGCCACAGACAGAAGGTCTGCACCCCACAGAGAGGCAGAGCCAGCCCACACCCCTCCTCACACACAGCAAACTTCCCTTCACTCACCTGCTCCTGTAGCCTACTGTTTTCCCACACCCTGCGGCACACCATACACTCAAATGTATCAATGTAGTTGTCCTGGTTAATGTCTTGCACGCCCCACTTCCGTTCCCGGAGAGCTGTCAGAAGCCGCTGGTTAGAGATCTCCCCCTTCAGCTTCCATTCTACGTAGGCCTCATACAATCTGTCATCATAATCCAGTTGTCTAATGAAACTGGCCAGTTCTTTGGGGTGAGAAAACTCGGAAACAAGAATGGCACTTCTGTTACTTGGGAGCCAGTCTGCGATGGTGGGGGATCCGTAATACACAGGCACGACCCCCAGTTTCAGTGGTCTCCAGAACTTCTCTGTGATGTAATCATCACAAACTGCATTCTCAAAAGCAAGGATGAACTTATACTGGGCGATGATCCTGTAGAAGCCATCGGCATCCATGGAGGCTGGATTTTTCAGCGGCTGAGGAAGATGTTTGTTTTGTAAACACTCCCCATACGAATCAACTTCAATGTAAGCCATCAGCTCACGAACATAGCTGTCCCTGTCTGATGGTGGATCACAGTCTGACTGTACATATACCAGGGGAGCAAGTTTTTGTCTTAGGTTGTTTTTAGACTGCAAAGGTACTAGGTATCTGAGTGACTTCAGGACTTCCACACCTTCCAGGTACTGGGTAGTCAGGGGCAAGTGGGAATGTCTGCTGAACGTGGCTGTGTGGTTGAATAAGGTGATGACTGGCTTGTGGAAGAGCTTATAATTGTTTTTGGGGGACTCTTCATGGAAAAGGGCCCAGTCATGATAGGCTTTCCGAGGCAGAGGTAAGCTGTCTATGTTCACGTCAGTACCTAGGAGGAGAAAATAAAATATGAATGAATATGTCCAAAGGAAGTTTGGGATCTCAGGGTAAAAATATAATATAAAGGAGTGTTGTGGTGATATATTGTGTACCCTAATAAACTTGCTTAAGGATCAGAGGACAGAGCCAGCCACTAGATTAGACATAGAGGTCAGGCAGTGGTGGCACACACCTTCAATCCTATCACTTGGGAGGCAGAGATCCATCTCGATCTCTGTGAGTTCAAGACCACAGTGGAAACAGAGCCAAGCAGTGGTGGCACACACCTTTAATCCCAGTACTGGGAAGCACACACGCCTTTAATACCAGGAAGTGACACGGTTGGGTGGAGAAAGGTATATAAGGTGTGAGGAAACAGGAATTCACTCTCTTTAGGCTGAGGATTTCATAAAGGTAAGAACTAATGGCTGGCTGTTCTGCTTCTCTGATCTTTCAGCTTTCACCCTGATATCCAGCTCTGGGTTTTTTTTTATTATAAGACCATCTAAGATTCAAACAACAGAGTGCAATGCTGTAAATAATAAGTGTATATGTCAGGGACCCTCCCTAGTGCCTAGAAGTCAACTGTGAAGCATGCACCCAAAAACTGGACAGGGAAAGAATCATCAGATATAAGGATTGACATTTTCATTCCTTAAAAAAGGTACAGGGAGGAGTGCCTGGGCAGATTTCAAAAGAGGTATCATTGTACTGCCTTCTGCAAACGGCTCTTCATTCCAAAGGCACTGTCTACAAGATAGCAGGAGAATGAAGACATCAAGACCGACAGTTCCTTTAAAAAAAAAAAAAAAGTCAAGAAAAGGAAGCAAAATGGAGAAAAGCAACCGGTCTGGCCAATTGATTAATCGGGTTAAGCGGGGAGGAATCATCCAAGAGCAGCCTTAAGAAATATGCAGGATAGATTTTTTTTTTAATCCAAAATGATTGATTTCAACAGAATACAGTTGATCAATCTTAGTCAAAATGGTAGACAGGGGGCTTTTAAAGACCAAAACACTGATAATAGCCCTATGTCAGAGACTGCTGCAGGGGTAAGCATGAATTAACAAGTACATCAGAAAATAAAGAGGCATAACAGGCTTATAATTAGGAGTGATTCTGGCTTCCATGAGATATATTGGAAAAACCTCTGAAATAAGATAATATGTAGATAGATGTGATGGATGTGGTCAGCAGTTATTTCCTGACCATGAGGGTGGAGATCCGCTCAGGAAGAACTAATTTCTATGACTAAGGAAGAAAAATTAAGACTTTATCACAATATGGAATTTCTGAATGCTCCTGACAATGATACTGTGTACACTGGCTTGAGGTTGTTAAATATCAATGTAAACAAACAGCAAAACCAAAACACACACACACACACACACACACACACACACACACACACACACATACACACACACCAGAAGAAAACTCCATCTTCTGCCACCTACTAGGGGATTGAAATGTACCAAATAACTATAGCAGTATGAAACACAGTCTCTGGTGGGCTCACAAAAATTAGTTATGTAAGGTTAGTTCACCTGCTCTCAAATAAATACAAACCCTTTGAGGTCAACCGTACATCAGTAAGAAATTAGGTAATCAAAAGGCTTTTAGTCCAGATTGATGAGACTGAATGTGGCCGCCACCTGAAGCTGCTTATTCACAACCTACTGAGCTCACATGGCAGACTGGGTGAGAGTCCTGAGGGTCACCCTGTACCTCCAAGCCAGCAGTCCAAGGTCCTTATTAACCAGATGAAATTCAACCCTGACTTCACTAGTAGGTATTATCTAAGTGGTGGGGCCTCTGCTTATAGAGGCAACAGTAGCTCAGACCTGGCTGACTATGAGATATGGGCATGACAGGGCATTTCTGAGAATAGATACCACATGCTGCTGGGGTAGACATGCTAGAGGGTCCCCGCAATGCCCAGAATCTGGTGATCTGTTCCCCCTTCAAGTGCAGAATCTCCTACTGCAAAGTGATGAGGGAACTGAGACATAACCAACTTTGAATTTTGTGACCATGTGTACCAATGTCGCTAACGAATTCTTTCCTATTCACTAGTTCTTCCATGCATGATGCCAGCTCAAGCCAACGACACACTGAGCAATATTCTTGAGCTCCATGGTACCTGTATTTTTCTCATTGGTGACTCAAAACAAAGAAGCAAAAAAAGGGTTTGAAACCTTCCTAGGTGACATTAAATTGAGTCAGAGGATACATACTGAGCACAGAGAAATTGCCAAAAAGCCACCTCAACCTCGGTGACAGGCTTGTGTTCTCAATCGCCAGCTGCGGTGGCTTCTTCAGCAGAGAGACAAGACTACCCACTCTCAGTGAATTGTGTGTCCATCTGTCTATTTTTTTTTTCCCCTTCAACCCCTCGCCACCTAGACAAACACGTCTCTGGAGCCTTGCTGTGTGCAGCTGAGCAGGAACACAGAGACCACCACAAAGCATCCTCTGGAGTTCACAGAGCAAAGAGAGCCTGAGCTCACCTCTGCTTGTCTACATCCGTAAAGTGCAGCAGGAAGCAAAAGCAGCCGCATCAAGATTTCTGTGACCACCCTAAAGGTCCAGTCATGGTGTGTGGGTAATATGAATGGGACTAAAATGAGCCTCTTATTCATTACAAGTGGTGAGCTGCTACAGAATCTCAATGACAGAAAGGATGGAAGACGATGAGCCCCTCACACATGCAATCTATAGGAACAAAATCAAAACAAAACAAGACCTTGCAGAAGCTAAGCAAAACTATATTTGTTTATTAAGAATCAACACACAGAGCTGGACACGGTGGCGCACACCAATAATCCCAGAATTTGGGAGGCTTGGGGAGAAAGAATGACTTCAGAGCCAGCCTGGACTACAGCCTGAACAATGCAGCATGACCCTGTCTCTGAAACCAAGTATTGAGAATTTACCTCAATGGCAGAACATTGTTCCTAGCGCAGCACAAGAATATAGGTCCATTGCCCAGTGCTCCCCCTGCCCCCAAAAAACTAAATGTGAAAGTTCCCATCCTCTCCTCTTAATTCTGTTGAGTCTGCAGGGGTAGGGAAATGCCCCTATTAGTGAGATATGTCACTTTAATGGAGAGAAAAGTTAAAGTAACTTACCAGAAGTACTTCACATATTTGCTATTTTAAAAAGCATTTCCCAGCACTGGACGGTGATGATGCACGCCTTTCATCTCAGCACTTGGGAGGCAGAGGCAGGTGAATCTCTAAGCACGAGGTCAGCCTGGTCTACAGAGTGAGCTCCAGGACAGCCAGGGCTACACAGAGAAACCCTGTCTCAAAGAAAACAAAAACAAACAAACAAGCATTTCTCAGTATCTTTCCTGAGACATACATGAAAAGTAACACAACCCCAAATTCCTAAGCACAGACATCATCATCACATTAAGTAAGTCTTCTGTTGATTGTTTCAAGCTAAAATTCCCCCAGGAAACAATTTTTAAAATGTCACTTTGCTCCCCCATAAGCTACTATCAATCTTAGGCCTAAGCATTGGCTAGAAAACACCCAGAAACAGTAAAATCAAAACCACCACAGATCTCAACTACCACACTGGGGACATCACAGCCTACAGCAGAGTCTCAGTGCTGGACCATTCTAAAAGGGAGTGGCTGAAAAAACAAGCAGATGATTTAACTTCAGCTCCAGGATAATGTCTATCACCCGGAGTGGAGCTGCGTAAAGCGATGGAAATAAAAATATGGTGATCCATAAAAATCTGACTCACTATATATGTTCACCAGTTTATACAGTCACTTTTGCAGCCTCTTACATTTAACAGCTTTGGATTCAAACTTCCATTCCTCTGGGTGAGTTTGTGTTTACTGAATATTGATACATTTATTAGTTCCTTTAAACAGCTGCTGATGAACAAAACTTAAGCACTAAAGTACATTGTAAAGGGAATTGCAAATTTGGGATAAAGTTAATCCTGGCAAATCATGCCAGACTGCTGACTACAGAGACTGATTTGCAATAGCAATAAGAGGAGTGATATGCTTTATGGGACGTGTTTATGTGCCTTCCTCCTTCTAAGGGCATGCAGACATCTTTCATCATCCCCACACAAATTGGAGAAAACAGAAGACAACTTGGATTATTGACCCCACTTCAATCACAAAGGTTGGCTCCCTCATCTAGAACTAAAAAGCCAGATGAAGAGCAGGAGTCAAACTGGCCAGTGGCAGATGGCCAATGGCAGACTGGCCAATGGCCGGAGACCAGAATAATCACTGGCTGATTCTAGAGAGTGAATGAATGAATGAGTCTGAATGAATGAATATGGGCACCCTCCAGTGCTCCCACAAAAATAGGCAACAACTTTAGCGCTCTGGTAATATGACAAATGCAGTCTGCTTAGGCTTAACCTAGAAGAGAGACGTGCTTCCCAAAGTGGCTTCCAAACCTAACAACAACAAAATATCCTTGGGCTGGAGAGATGGCGCAAAGGTTAAGAGCACTGACTGCTCTTCCAGAGGTCCTGAGTTCAATTCCCAGCAACCTCATGGTGGCCTACAACCATCTGTAATGAGATCTGGTGCCTTCTTCTGGCCTGCAGTCATACATGCTATATACATAATAAATAAATAAATAAATCCTTAAAAAAAAATATATCCCTACCATGAAGCCAAATAAAAATCCAGTGCTGCAATTCAGTGAGTATGTTTATTGCTGCTTTTAAATGCTTTTTCTGTGAATTTTCTTGACTCCCTCAGGTTATTTAGTTTTTCCAGGGTGGTGAGCAGTAACTAATGTTTTGAAATGACATCAGGGAAAAGATCCTGTCACTGGAAGCTAAATTCTGAACAATTCTGAACTCGCTACACGCACCTCTATAGACACCCTGTCTCTCTAGCCGGTTCAGAAGGGGCTCTGACAGGACACCTGACTCAGAGAGTTTTCCAACTAACTGCTGGGCCGGTAATCCTCCCTCCCCTCCCACTAACTCTCTCCAAGGGTCCCTGTGCCTGCCCCTTAA